ATTTTAACACAAAACCAACAAAACTGCAAAAAGGGGAAATTCTCAACCTTTATCATTCCCACCCATAAAAAATAGTCAATTTTTAAATTAATTTTCCAAATTAATTAATTTCCCCAAAGGTCTTGCTTGAGCACAAACCAGTCTTCTCACCTTCTGCTTTGCAAAGAGCTCCCAATGCGCATGCGCGTCGCCTCGAGGGCACGCGCTCTTTTAAAGCCCCTGGAAGGAAGCAAGCACGTGGCGCTCCAACTGCGCCTGCGCACTGCCGCCTCCTCGCGCCTAAAAGAAGCCTCTCTATGCAACTGAACTGCGCAGGCGCGGGACTGCACATTTAACCCTTTCCCTCCTGGAGAAAAAGAAAAATCCTTTTCAAATGGGAAAAAGCAATATCTGCTTTTTAGCAAGTGCAAAGAAAATTTGCCTTGACTTGGAGCTGCATCCACACTACCGATTTAAGCATCTTGGCCCCATTTCATTTTGCTATGGTGCAGTGCTATGGAAGTTGTAGTTTTCCAAGGTCTTTAGCTTTCTCTGCTTGACAGCTCCCAGGATCTCAGCTAAAGTGGTGTCAAACTGCATTAATTCTACATTAATGCTATGCTAATAATATAATATATTGCATATACTTATAATATTTATAATATTATAATATATAATGCAATTTAAAACCAATAATAATACAATATTATAATTATATATTTTATATTACATGTAATATTGCTAATAATATTATAATGGCTTAGTGCAACATAGCAATATATAATACTGATATGGTGCTATGCTAATAATATAATATATTGTATATACCTATAATATTCATAGTATTATAATGTAATGCAATATAAAACCAATAATAATAATAGTAATAATAATATAATACAATATTATAATTGTATATTTTATATTACATGTAATATTACTAATATTACAATATATTGGTATAGTGCAATATAGTAATATATAATACTGATATTCTGCTATGTTAATAATATAATATATTGTATATACATATAATATTTATATTGTAATGTAATGCAATATAAAACCAATAATACAATATTATAATTATATATTTTATATTACATGTAATATTACTAATCGTATTACAATATAGTGGCCTAGTGCAACATAGTAATATATAATACTGATACTGTGCTATGCTAATAATATAATATAATATAATCTATTGCATGTACATATAATATTTATAATATAATGTAATGCAATATAAAACCAATAATAATAATAATAATAATACAATATTATATATATATATATATATATATATTACATGAAATATTACTAATAATATTACAATGGCCTAGTACAACATAGTAATATATAATACTGATACTGTGCTATGCTAATAATATAATATAATCTATTGTATATACATATAATATTTATAATATAATGTAATGCAATATAAAACCAATAATAATAATACAATATTATAATTATATATTTTATGTTACATGTAATATTACTAATAATAATACAATATAATGGCCTAGTGCAACATAGTAATATATAATACTGATACTGTGCTATGCTACTAATATAATATAATCTATTGTATATACATATAGTATTTATAATATTATAATGTAATGCAATATAAAACCAATAAAAATAATAATAATACAATATAATGGCCTAGTACATTATAGTAATATATAATACTGCTATTCTGCTAATAATATAATATAATGTAATGTAATATAATATAATCTATTGTATATAGATATAATATTTATATTATAATGTAATGCAATATAAAACCAACAACAATAATAATACAATATAATGGCCTAGCGCAATATAGTAATATATAATACTGATATAGTGTTATGCTAATAATATAATATAGTCTATTATATATACATATAATATTTATGATATTATAATGTAATGCAATATAAAACCAATAATAATGCTACTATAATATTATATAATATTTTATATTACTAATAATATTACAATATAATGGCCTAATGCGATATAGTAATATATAATACTAATATTCTGCTATGCTAATAATATAATATAAATTATTGTAGATACATTGTAGATACATATAATATTTATAATATTATAATGTAATGCAATATAAAACCAATAATAATAGTAATAATAATACAACAATATTATAATTGTATATTTTATATTACATGTAATATTACTAATAATATTACAATATAATGGCTTAGTACAATATAGTAATATATAATACTGAGATGGTGCTATGCTAATAATATAATATATTGTATGTGTGTATGTATGTATATATATATATATATATATATATATATATATATATAAGCCGCTCTGAGTCCCCTTCGGGGATAGATAGATAAATAAATAATACATTGGATATATTTTATTTATTTATTTTATTTACTCTATTTGTATACCGCATATATCAGCCTGAGGCGGCGACTCAATGCGGATATATTCAGTTCCTTTTATTTATTTGCACTGCTTGTACATAAATGGTCCTTCCATGCCATGTCTCCCATACAATCCATGCTGAAGATTCTGGGTTCGAATCCAGCTCAGCTTCTCAATTTTCCAGTCTTATTTCTTTCCAGGAATGGCCTCAGGCTGTTAATTCAAATCTGCATTAGTCGACTTTAATGCCATGTATCTTGTTGCATGCCTTTTAATAGTGTTTTCTTTATTGTTTCAATATATTCCACCTAGAGCCGCAGGTAGAGGCAGGAAATGAAATTATTATTATTATTAATTATTATTATTATTATTATTTATTGTTATTATTATGCACAAGATTGATACACAACAAACAAGATCACTCTGCTGGCATTTGTATTTAATCACACGTCGGACCCTTCCCAAGTGTCTAGGACTATGTGATAGAACGGTGAATAATGTGTGCAGATCCAAATAGGTAATTTTGTCAGCACCAATTGTTGTTAAGTGCATGCCATGGTCTTCAGGCACTGCACCCAGTGTGCCAGTCACCACAGGGACCATCTTGACTGGCTTTGCAGTTCGATCTTTAAATCCTCATATTATTATTATTATTATTATTATTATTATTATTATTAAATATACAACAATATCTGTACATGGCAAACAAAAACACTCTGCTGGCTTTTGTATTTGATCACACGTTGGCCACTTCCCAAGCTTCTAGGACTGTGTGATGTATCAGCAAATAATTCATGCAGATCCGAGTAGGGCGGCCTTTTGCAGCTGACAGATTATAATTTTGTCAGTGCTGATTGTTTTTAAGTGCAGGCCAAGGTCTTTAGGCACGGCACCCAGTGTGCCAATAATATTAATTTTACATAGGCATTTTATCTCAATTTGCTTCTGACACAATAAATAAATACCCATTATTATTATTATTATTATTATTAATTATATTTATTTGTACCCCACTTTATCTACCCAAAGTGGACTCATAGCATTAATTTAGCAAACTTTTGATGCAAAATAATACCATTTTACATAGGTATTTTATCTCAATTAGCTTCTGACACAATAAATAAATAAATATCCATTATTATTATTATTATTATTATTATTATTATTATTATTATACCCAGCTTTATCTCCCCAAAGGGGACTTATACCATTAATTTAGCAAACAATATAATTTTAGTTCTTGTGGGTTTTTTCGGGCTATATGGCCATGTTCTAGAGGCATTTCTCCTGACGTTTCGCCTGCATCTATGGCAGGCATCCTCAGAGGTGAGGTCTGCTGGAACTGGGGAAAAAAGGGGGTTATATATCTGTGGAATGAGCAGGGCGAGACAAAGGGCTTTTGTAAGTTGGGCTATATGAATTCTAATATGAATTTATATGAATTCTAATCAGTTTCTAGGTGCCCTTACTGCCTATTACAGGGAAAACCAACTGATCCCTAATCCATCTAAAACACAGACATGTGCCTTTCACCTTAAGAACAGACAAGCATCCTGAGCTCTGAGGATTATTACCTGGGAAGGAATCCCACTGGAGCATTGCAACACACCCAAATACCTGGGAGTCACTCTGGACCGTGCTCTGACCTACAAGAAGCACTGCCTTAACATCAAGCAAAAAGTGGGTGCTAGAAACAATATTATAAGAAAGCTGACTGGCACAACCTGGGGATCACAACCAGACACAGTGAAGACATCTGCCCTTGCGCTATGCTACTCTGCTGCTGAGTACGCATGCCCAGTGTGGAACACATCTCACCACACTAAAACAGTGGATGTGGCTCTTAATGAGACATGCCGCATTATCACGGGGTGTCTGCGCCCTACACCACTGGAGAAATTACACTGCTACTTCCCTGACATCCGCCGGGAAGTAGCAGCCAATAGTGAAAGGACCAAGGCAGAGACTTCTCCAGCTCATCCCCTGTTTGGGTATCAGCCAGCATGTCAACGACTTAAATTTAGAAATAGTTTTCTAAGATCTACAGAGACACTCGCTGGAACACCTCAGCAAGCGAGAGTCCTAAAGTGGCAGGCTCAAACCCATCACCTCAACCAATGGCTGATACCAAATGAGAGCACACAGAGGACTGGGCGACTTGGAAGGTGCTGAACAGACTGCGCTCTGGCACCATTATTATTATTATTATTATTATTATTATTATTATTATTATTATTACGGTATATTTATTTATACCCCACTTTATCTCCCCAAAGGGGGGAGTCATACCATTAATTTAGCAAACTTTTGATGCAAAATAATATAATTTTACATAGGCATTTTACCTCCATAGGAACGTGTTTATTCAGGGTTAGAACTGATCAAAAGGAATTGCAATAAATTGTATTCAGTGCAAAAATAAAAGGAAGAAGTAACCTTGGGACATGCATACACTATAGTACAGGCATGGGCAAACTTGGGCCCTCCAGGTGTTTTGGACTCCAACTCCCACAATTCCTACTAGCCAGTAGGTTGTTAGGAATTGTGGGAGTTGGAAGTCCAAAACATCTGGAGGACCAACGTTTGCCCATGCCTGGTTTACACCTTCTCATCATTATCGGACCGCCGTTGCTCTCCAAGGACCTCGTTCTTTGGTGATCTTCAGCGTGTAACTCTTCAGTTGAGCGCAGTGCGCAAGGAAGGCGTCCACCACGGCTTGGCCGACCACGCAGTAACAATGGATCTCCTTCAAGCGAAGACACTTCTTGGCCAGATCGATCAGCGCAGCGTCGAGATCCTCGGAAGGAGTGGTTCGGAGGACGAAGATCTCCAGAGTCCGGTTGTAGTTGCCGGTGATGAAGCGGACCTGGTTCACCATGTAGTTGTAGGTGTTGAGTTGCAACGTGGTGACGGGGATGTTGGGTTTCAGTATCCGCGGGATCTTCCACGCGGGGACCGTGTGGTCAAACTCCAGTTCCACGCGGAGCGCGGGGTGCCTCTTGCTCACCGCCGCCCACAGCTCTTCCGGGATGACCGGGATGTATTTGTCCAATCGCTCGCAGAAGACGTCCAAGCGCCGAAGGGGAGCTCGGTTTGGCGCGGCCAGTTCTTGGAAAACGTCCTCCGAGAGGCTGGCGTAATAGACGCCCAACGTGGAGAGCCTGGGGCAAAACCGCAAGACCTCGAGCATTGTCTCTGGCTTGACGTTGCACACCAAAGTCCGGTTGTTGAGGAACAACGTGTGCAAATTGGGGCTGCCCGACGCCACGAGGCGTACCGTGGCATCGTCCAAAGTGAAGGGCATTTTGCGGAAGTCGAGGCAGCGGAGGTCGATCTTGGTGTCGCTCCGGCAGACGTTCCTGATGCTCTGCAATATGTCTTGGCCGGAATAGAAATACGGGTTCTCCCCGCGGCACTCGATGCACAACGCCCGTAGTTTGTGGTTCTGCTGGGCCAACAGGTCCAAAATGCGGGTGACGTTCTTCCGGACGCTCTCCTTGGACTGATTGAACACGATCTTTAAGTGCTTGATGTGGGGCAGGAACTGGTGCAGACTCTTCAAGGTGTC